TGACAGATTTTGTATATTAAAGAAAACAGCATATAAGTGGGCCCACACAGTTCAAATCCATGTTGTTAAGGATCAACTGTAATTTACATGGTAGCAGAGACTCGTATTCTCTTGTGGATTAAAGCAGATCTGTGGGACTGCGGCATGCAGATAGCATTTTTTTTTTTAAGGGGGGCGAGTTGTTTCCTCGTTTTGTTTTGTTTTAAAGCTCCCATTCTGTAAAGGGTAGTCAGTGTTGATCATCTGATTTAAAATGTTGGTCCTTCATCCAGGTTGCACGGATGATGATCTGGCTTTCTCTCTCTAAAGCCAACTACCTAATCTTTATTTCCCCAGCCCCTGTAGCACACAGCATCTCAAAAAAGTAAGCTTCTACCAACAGACTTACAGTAGTAGGACCTGTTGCTGTAACAGAAGGGAGACCTCATTTCCACAGTGATCCTTCTTGGAAACCTTTGACACTTCTCTCCTAATCTCCTACTCTGGCTGATCTTTCTCAGTCTCTTCGGTGAATCCTCTTCCTTCACTACCCTTTAAGTATTAATGTGCCCAGGTCTCTTCTTTCACTGTGTCTTCTCAACAAATGATATCTTACCCCTTGCTCTTGGATTTCACTTCACTGAGTTCTACATCACTAGCCCAAAGTTCTCCGCGCTTCAGACCAGTATATCTAGCTCCTTACTGTGCTCCATCTGAGCATTCCACACAGGTCCTGTAACCCCAATATAAGATAAGCCCCTCCTTTTGTTTCCCCTATTATATATATTAGGTGGTATTACCAGCCACCATGACTCTCAAGTCGGGAGATTGAGAATTCATCTCCCTCTCCCTCACCCCACCCTAGTCCGTCACCGTATTCTTCATCCTCTGTGTATCTGGACTCCCTCCACTTCTCTCCGTGCTCAGCAGTCACTGCCCTTCTGGCTGCCCCATTTCACTAGGCTCCAGTCCTCGCTTTCAGTCTCACTGCCCTGCATCCCATCCCCTTCCCCTCACCATACCATTTATTCACCCGCTTAAAAGCTGAGTTGTCATTACAACTAGGTTTGGGCTGGTGGTTCCTTACAATCTGCTCCTAAGCCTTACCCTCCAGCAATGCTAGGAAACTTTATTTAGGTATCCACCAATTTGTTAAGAGGCTCAAAATCCTGTTTAGAACATAAAACATACAGATCATTTCTCCCTGGAGTGTGATTCTAAGGACCTGCTGACCTGAGGGCCTGCATCGCCCACGATCTTACTAAAAACCCAGAATTTATGGTCCACCACAGACCTGTATCAGAATCCTCATTTTAACAAGCCCTCCAGGTTATTTATGTGCATATTAAAGTTTGAGAAGCACTGACTTATAAAAGCCTTTATTATTACTATTTTTATGACTATTATGATCATTATTAATGAATGCAGAAATCAGAGCTAAGGGAAAATCTGATAAAGCCAGAGCCCAAGTAATATCAATGCATGCATTAAGTCAGGTGGTCTTTACTTTATTTGGGGGGGCTGGGCGGAAGAATGCTGATTTTGAGGAAGCCAGAGGACAACCGGATGAAGAGATCTTCAGTGTATATAGGTACTAGACTTCCTCTCCCACCGCTTCCCCTGCCTCCTTTTGTATCACTGCATGCATCAAAAATCTAAGGCGGGACTCTCTGAGCTTCATTTCCAGAGGGTAAAAGACCAAGCCCCTTCACCAGCAAACTCCCCCCTTCCTTAGTTTCCCAAGGTTAGGCTATCTGTGGCTGAGAGATTAAAGAGCAGGCCTCTTTTATCCCCCAATCTTTATTCATCCTTTAGTCAGTGCAGGTATCGCTCCCTGCAGAAAACCCACCCTCTATCCCTGACCTTTCCCTGCTGTGCACCAGGCCTTCAAGGCAATGGATTGATTAACGGGAGGCAGTATATGGCTGTGCTGAAAAGCAAAGGCTCTGGAATCAGATACACTCAGGTCTGAAGCCCAGCTTCCCAGAACTCCTAGAAGATACGTGACTTTGAACCAGTAATTTAATTTCTCTGGGTTTTAGTTTCCTCGCCTGTAAAATGTGGCAAATATACTGTCTTCAACTGCTGAAAAGAATGGGTGAATTAATACATGGCAGTAACGTGTGCTGGACCTCAGTTGTCCCCAGCACCCACCCAGCTGTAAACAGTGAGTAATAACTAGCTGAGCGTCAGCAGTATTCAGAGGTTGGCTGGCCAGTGTTGGGCCAAGAGGAACCCCAGGCCTCTGAGGCCTGGGCGGTACTCCAAACTTTTTGCCAAGCCCTGTCTCGCTCCCTCACGGGAAGGCGGGACTGTTGGATTGAGTGACGGCGTGTAGCCCGCCCCGGGCGTGACGTTGTCGTGGTGTTGTTGCTGCGGTCGCACGTGGTCCTCTGAGTCCGCTTCAGACTCCGCTGCGCTCCGTGTCCCTCGCCTTCCTGCTCATCTGGTTCGCTATGTCCACATCCACGAGCTGCCCGATTCCCGGGGGTAGAGACCGGCTACCCGACTGCTACAGCACCACGCCAGGGGGCACGCTATACGCCACTACCCCGGGAGGTCAGCGGGCCGGGCTCAGGTCCACGGGCAGTGGGTGGGCCTGCGCGATCAAGCTGGGGGTCCACGGGCAGCAGGCAGGCCCGCGCGTGTGCTCAGTCACGGGCAGGGGTAGGGAGCTACGGCCCTTTAACTCGTCCGCGGGCCCCTCTGCTGGTTGTAACTTAGGGGAGAGCGTGTGGAGCCCAAGCTTAGTTTCCGCGCGACTCTGGGCCAAATCCTCACTGGCCTGAGTTCGGGCGTCTTGCTCACCCACCCCTCCCGAGTTTGCCGCCTGGGAGGCAGAAGCCCCAACTGAGCTTGGCTTCACCGGGGATTACCAAGGTCTGGCTAAGTTGCTAGAGCCGGTTAGGCAGTTGGAGGTGTGGGCTTCGGGTATCTGTTGCTGGCTAGCTGGCGGCTGTTTGGTTGGGCAAGCAGCCTGGTATCTTGCGCTGCCGGGCTTCCGACCCAGGGGTCCCTGCCACGTGAAGGCTGAGGGGGGGGGTTGAGAACAAGAGCAGGGCCCTTTGAGGACAGAATTCTGTGCCAAGTTCCTTTAGGTTGGGCTGGGCCTGATAGAACTTGGGAGAGGTCAGGATAAGAACAGCATGTCCCTGTTTCAGAGAGAACACAGCTCCTCCCTGCAGGATATCAGGGCCCAGGTGGCTGCAGTGGCGAAGTGCCTTCACATCTGTTTGGTTTCTTGATCCAACTAAGGCTGGAGGCCTAGGCCCCACCTTGTGAACCAAAGCAATGAAGTCAGAGTCTGGGAAGAGCAGCCTGAAGTACCTGAGCTCCCAGTTTGATACTCCTCCTAGAGTTAGGACCTGAAACTCCCCTAAACCAAAAGCTGCCTGGGCCAGCTGGGATGTCCCAGTTGCCTAGCAGCATCTTGGTTAGGCCTGAAAGTGCTGTGAAGGCCAGTCAGCTGAGATCCTGGCTGGGCTGCAGAGCAGCAGCCCTGTAAAACAGGGAAGTGTGACCTATAGGTCCTTAAAAGGCCTTTCTGGGGCCCCAGGCAGCCGTGCACCCAAGCTCCTGCCTCTTACACAGCCCCTACTCCTTAACAGGCACCAGGATCATCTACGAACGAAAGTTCCTGCTGGAGTGCAAGAACTCACCCATTGCCCGGACACCCCCCTGCTGCCTCCCTCAGATTCCCGGGGTCACAACTCCAACAGCCCCACCCTCCAAGCTGGTGGAGGTGAAGGAGCAGAAGGAGACAGAGGAAGAGATACCCGGTAAGGAAAGCAGGACCTGACCCCAAAACTAAGAAATGCCTTTAAATCCAAATGTTCTGGTTGCAGCCGTGTTTCTGCACTAACACTGAGCCTGCAGACCGTCAGCCCAGCAACCAGTCCTCCTGCCTTCTCTCTCTCCAGATGACGCCCAATTTGAAATGGACATCTAATCCAGTGCAGATGACCCGTGCGTGCGTGGAGTTAGAGGAATCCCTCATGCCGCTGCTGCCACCACCTCTACTTGGGATATCCGAAGGCCAGCTGGCCTCATCTAATCCTGAAGGGAGTGACTTGGTTCTGGGCCTCCCTTAATTCTGAAGCAGCTGGACCAAGGATAGGGGTGGGCACCTTGCCAAGCCCTTAGCTCTACTTTCTCTCTGGTCTGTGGGTACTCCTCTCAACCCCAGCCCTCCTTACCCAGGGGCTGAGGCAGAGACTCGGGGATGGAGTATGTCACTGACTGCTTAGTAAACTTTCAAAGAAATGCCTTGGCTCGTGTTCTCAATGCTGAGGGCCCCAGCAGACCTGGTTAGGATCAGAGGGGCTAGGGCCCTTCACAGCTCAGATTGGGTCTGCTCCCAGAAGCAACAGACTGTGGCAGGCGATGTGGGCAATTTAAAGAAGGTGCCAAACTGTAAACAGCACTAGCCTTTCCCTGCCAAGGGCTGTTCCAGACTTACCAGGAAGCAGCCTTCCTGGACTCGGCCTCTCCAGTGGCCCCTCCCTATCTTTTCCAAAGCAGGAAAAGAGAGGCACTGCCTAACCTCTTAGCCTTCTGTGGTCTCTGCCCATGCTTTTCTGCCTCCCACCTAGAAGTACCAATACTTATTCCGACACTAAAAGCCCGTACTGGCCCTTCTCACAGGCCCCTTCAGCCTGACTCTGTTGCTTCAAAAGGTCAGAAGAAACCTTAAGGCCCGCATTTATTCAGCTATGTTCGAATACCTGGGTCTGAACTCCATAGCACTTGCACACCTCAAGGGTGATTCAGTGCAGACAAGGCAGGCTCTTTTCCTGAGGGAAAATGTTCCCTGTGCTATTTGAACCTTTGTTCTCGTGCTGAAGTGAAAGCATACAAAGATAGGGTTACTCAACCTAGCAAGAGGTGTGCACTTAGCTCTAATTTGGGGGAAAGTGGCAGGCAGTAATCTGGTCATTCCCAGTAAGGCCATTCATGATGCATGGAGGAAGAACAGAATTTGTAAGGTGCGCACACAGCAGGACAATCAAGAACACCAGAAGTGACCAGTCTGGCATGGGAAGGGTTTTACCTCCTACCCAGGACCCACCGTTGAGATGGTTTTATTGAAATGCATATGTTAGTGTTAATAAGTAACCTCCCTGAGGCCCAGGTGGGACCTCTTCCCCTACAGGTGGGTCAGCCAAATACCCCCATGGGGCAGACAGTCTCCCAAGTACTAAGAGGAAGTTGAGTAAGACAAGGCCTCCCACGCCAAGGCACAGGAGGTGGTGTGCGGTGAGTCCGGTACAGGATTATGGGTCCCGTTGGACACCTGGTGTGGTCTGGTTCTCCTCGGTTGTGGCTGTAGATTTCTCTTCACTAGCCATCTCCTCTGAAGATAGACTCCTCTTTTCTGCAATTAACCTTTTAACTCCCACCATCCACTGACTGACTTCGGTCACATGGTCAACCATAAGAGAGCGGTGGATGTCATCTGCTGCATCCCACCGGTGGTTTGAAAGCTCTGTGGAGAGAGAGACTGAGCGACTGAGCATACAGTCTGAGGCAAAAGACAGCTCCCACTCCTCCCTTCCCGCCACCTGTCCCAGCTTAGCCAACAACAAAAGGATAAGGGACTTAGGCTATACCCAGGGACCCGCCCGTACCCTGTACCAGCAGAGCCATCCTCTTCTTTACAGGTGTTGACAGTTTCCCTCCAACCCACTGTTCCTGCAGCAGAGCCAGGCGTCGGCTGATGTCATCACACACCTGCTTCTGAGAGACAGAAACCTCTCCAAGTCAGTGCTGCCAGCCAGCAGGGGCAGGGGAAACCTAGCACACAGGCAGCACCTGCTTTCTCTGGCCCAGGAACTTAATACCTAATCTTAGCATTCTGGTTCTTTACCCAAAGGATAGAAGCCCCAATGAGAATCTGATGAAACCTATGGATCTCCTTCCAAGAAAAAAGCTGTGTACGGCTAGAATTTTAAAATTTCCTGTTTCTCAGGCCCTCAGAAATTCATTTTATAGTGCTACTTTACAAATACAAAAACTAAAGACGAGAGAAGTGAAAATTACTATGCTACTTTCCTTTAAGACTCCTCAGATCCGTTCCCTCCAGAGAACTTAAACACTACAGATAGGAAAAGTGGGCTGGTGTGGCTCAGTGGATTGAGTGCTGGCCTGCACCCAAAAGGTTGCCAGTTCGATTCCTATTCAGGGTGTATGCCTGGGTTGCAGGCCAGGTCCCCACTTGTGGGCATGCAAGAGACAACTGATGGGCATATCTCTTGTACACCAAGGTTCCTCTCCCTCTTTCTCCCTTCCCCTCTCTCTAAAAGTAAATAAATAAAATCTTTTAAAAAAGAAAATGAGGGCCCTGGCTGGTGTAGCTCAGTGGATTGAGCACAGGCCTGTGAACCAGAGGATCACGGTTCAATTCCCAGTCAGGGCACATGCCTGGGTTGCGGGCCGGTTCCCAGCAGGGGACGTACGAAAGGCAACTGTGCATTGATGTTTCTCTCCCTCTCTCCTTCCCCTCTAAAGATAAACAAATAAAATATTTAAAAAAAAAAAAAGAAAATGAGGGTTTCCTTCCCTCCCTGAGCACAAAATCAGCAGGGTCTGCTCTGAATGGCCTAGAGTCCTAGAGGTATGAAAATCAGGCCGTCCATCACTAAAGGGATTTGAATTGAACTCTTGTTCCTAGGAGTCCCTTGAACCCTCCTGAAACCCTGTGTTCATTTTTTCTGGGAAGTCCTTAGCAGATCCCAAAGGGGTCCATAACTCAGAAAAGGTTAGGAGCCACAGTGCACAAAATCAGTGTCTACCTTTGGGGGCCACACCTGCAGCTGGCCATCCATAGGAACCCCCCCTGCCCCACGGGAGGGGCAGGGCTTACCTTTGTGTGCCCATGGCAGTCATCCAATGCCTGTTCCAAAGGTCTCAGCACATCTTCGAGCAGAGTCTCACACTCAGTGACGGGCAAATCTGTGCGCTCCACAGTGGGGACAGGACAAGTCCCCACAGCTGGGGGCCTAGAAGACTTACTTGAAGGAGGTGGAAGCCCCAGTGGGGGGGCCCCAGGAGAAGTCTCTGAAGTAGGGACTAAAAGGTAAAGTAGGATCAGACAAACAGGTACAGCTGCTGAAGTAGGTAAGCTCAACTCTACTCCATCCCTTCTGAGAAGGGCTGCTCTAAGACAATGCTCACTCAAAAATGTGTGTTTATGAAGTCCTTACTGTGTGCTAGACAATGTGCAAAACACCAGAGATAAAAGTAGACAGACAAGGTTTCTAACCTCAGAACTTAAATTCTAGAGGAGAGGGGGAAGAACACCAAATTATGTTGCATGCTACAAAAAAATACCAAAAAAATGGATTAAGTAATACAGAGGAACAGAGGGACCTATCTAGAAGGCCACCTAATTTTATCCCAGTACAATGACTACATAATATTTGGCAAGTTAGTTTTAACCTGGGCTCGGGTTCCTCTCCTGTAAAATGGACATATTACTGTAATAGCACTTATTTTATAGAGTTGAAATGATGCATAAGAATACAGGTACAGCCCTGACCGGTGGGTGTGGCTTGGTTGGATGTCGTCCCAAAAAGCGAAGGGTCACTGGTCGGTTCTCGGTCAGGACATGTGCCTGGGTTGCGGGTTTGGTCCCTGGTCAGGGTGCATACAAGAGGCAACCAATCAATGTTTCTCACATTGAGGTTTCTCTCCCTCTCTTTCATCCTCCCTTCCCCTCTCTCTAAATATAAATCTTTTTAGAAAAAAGAACAGAATATAAGTACAGCTGCTTGATTAGTGTGTAGCCAAAAGTGCTCACAAAGTTAAGAACTGATGGATGAGAGCTGTGGCCCTGACAAGCCGAAGGAAACGAATACGAGGCAGAGGTCAGGGCAGCGCCCAGGAGGCCGGAAGAGTCAAGACATTAATTCCACATGCTCTGTGAAAAATTGGGGAGGCTAGGTCGCAGGCGGAGGCAGGGACACCAGCAGGTTCACGAGCAGTAGTCCTGGAAAGAAAAGCTGCTGCTACGGACTTGCATGAAAGACTATAGGTGAGGGGAAATAGAGCGGTCAGACGGATTTGGGAGGGAACAGCACAAGACTTGGTGGACTGGGGGTGAGGGAGAAGAGTCAAGGATGACTCTGGGTGTCTGACTTCAGTAATGAGATGGGGAAACCACTACAGAAGAAGAGAAGACCGGAGGAGAAAAAATCAAGAATTTACTCCTAGGCATCAACATCCACACAGACAACAAATCATCCTCTTGGTTTCTTGCCCTCACCTCCAGTGATCATTTTTTCCACCCAGCCTCGGCCTGGTCTCTTGTTCCCCTTTGCCACTTTCTCGACACCACCTCTCCCCCCGATTCCAGCTGAGCTACACGGGTTTAACCATGCATTAAAGTCACTCCCTTACCAACACTCTCACCTCACTTATCCCTTCCCACTGTCCCATTTTCCTGGTAAATCCAACTTGCCTGCACTTCTTGGGAGGAAAAATACAACTATGCTGAGAAGTTACACTTTAAACCCATGGCTACAAAGTTTAAAAGGTATCCACCACTGCTTGGAAGTCCTCCACTTAGCCTCATTTTCCCAAGCTTTGGAATACCTATTTTCACATCTCTAAACTTTCTACCCCCTCCCTCTCTTTACTTTTCCCTGCTGTCTCTCTACTTCTGACTCTTGCTTCCTATTTCATTGAGAATACAGGAGGCATTAAACAGGGACTCATTTCTCACCACCAGTTCCACTAACACAGCCACATCGGTGGCCACTTTCCTCCTTCAATAGACAAAAGGTCTCTGCTGAGCTCAGGGGCCATCTCTCTGGGTGAACTCTGCACCCAGCCTCTCATGCCTTCTCTAGCCTTCTGTCCTGGAACTATCCCTTTTCTCCAGCACCCCCAGTTCTGCCATTTTACTGAACCACCCTACCTGCACACAAAGCCACCAAGGTGTATACTGCCTTAAAAACAATAGCCCTCCCTCCCTCACCCCACATTCCATCCTCAGGCACTCCACCCCATTTCTCATCTTGGCTTTACAGTAGAATTTCTTGAACGAGAGGCCTTTAGTTACCTGTCTTTCCACGTTCCCTTCTTGGCCCATTCCAGCCAGTTTGTGTTCTCATCACTCCACAGACCACTCTTCAGGCCACCAGTGACCACTCTGTATGTCAAAATTAGTGGTCCCTTTTCTCTTGACCTCACGGTAGAGTTCATTACAGTTGAGTCACAAAATTTTACTGAGTAAATTTTACTTTTATTACTTCTTTGGCTATTTCTCACCTTCCTTTGCTAATTCCTTCTTTACTCAACCTTGAAATGTTCCAGAGCCATAGGATTCTGGCTTGGATCCTCTTTAGGACTTTATCCACACACTCTCCCCTAGGTTACCTTGGTCAAATCCATGACATCTCATACCATCCACATGACAGTGACTCGTTTTTGTAATTCTGGCCTATGCCTCTCCCCAGTATAGCAGCCGAAATTTAACATGGCTGAGACAGCAAGTTTGCTTTCCCCCTGGCCCCCAAACCACTATTCTCTCTCCAGTCTTCTGATCAGTGAAAACACCAACCAGTTCCTCAAGCAAAAATTCAAACTACATTGATTCCTCTTTTCTTAACCCACTCATTCTTACTTTCTCCGTAACATATCCCGCCCATATCCATCCAACTCCTGCCACCTCTAATACCCCACACTTGTCCAAGTCATCATTAAATGTTGCCTTTGTTACCATAAGCACCTCTTAATTTTCCATGTCTTGCCTGTAATCTTCCACACAGCAGATAGTGATCATTTAAAAAATGTAAATCAGTGTTCCTCAGTCTGAGGAGATTTTGCCTGTGGGGCAAATGTCTGAAGACACCTTTAGCTCCCCCAACTAGATGGGTGCTACTGGCATCTAATGGATAGAGGCCAGGGATGCTGTCAACACCCTACAGTGTCCAGGACAGTCCCACACCACAAGGAATTATCTGGCCCAAAATGTCAACAGAGCCAAAGTTAGGAAATCCTAGCTTGTACCATTCCTCTGCGGGGTTACAGTGTGGAGAATAGAAGGGTGCTAAAGAGCTGTACCCAAGCCTTTCTCAGGGCCACAGCCACACCAGTTGGCATGGGACCTGCTCAGGAGAAAATGCAGCCCTCCTCTACTTTAAACATTTCAATGGTTTCCAACTTCACATAGATTAAAATGCAAACTCCTTACCCCGGCTTGTCAAACCAACTACAATCTGGCCCCTGACTGTTACTTATCCCTATCCCTGTGCTCTGGCCCTATGTACTCCTTCAGTCTCTAACCTCGTCAGCCTTGTTCTTCAGGCCTTTGCACTAGTTGTTTCCAATGCCTGGAGTGCTCTGGTGCCTGACCTTTGCATAGATAGCTTTTAATCATTCACATTTCAGCTTAAATGTCAGCCCCTCAGACACTTTAGTGACCTGGTCACTCTCACATCACAGTTTTCTTTCTTTGCAGATCCCTTACCACTATTTTATTTGTGTGTCTCCAAAGCTCCACAGTGTGGATTCCACGAAAGCAGAAACCTTTTCGTCTTTTTCATTGCTGTTCTAGTTCCCTTTCAGATAATGTCTGGCACACTGAGGATGCTCAGTGGATGACAATGAATGAATGACATGTTAAGTCTGAGATGCTTATTATATAGCCAGGTGAAGATGTAGAACAGACAAGTGGACATACTACTATGGAGTTCTGGGAAGAGATCCAGGTTGGAAATGACATTTAAAAATAATTTGAGAGTGAAAGCTACATTAAAACCACAGATTTGGATGAGATCACCTTGGATGAAAGCATAGAAAGATTCTTTTGAAGCCAACGTATTATTTATTGATCTGGGCATCAAAGAGGCTCAGAAAAGGGCCTGCCCTGTGGCCCTTTCCGGGGCTCCGGCCTCTCACGGAATCTTCAGAGGAGCAAAAAGTCCCCTTGAGACAAGCTTATCCCTGGCACTGCCCATTCTCGGCCGGTCTCTGTACCCAGGGCCCCCACGCACCTCTGGGGGATCCATCCTGGGGAGCGGCGACTCGCTTGGTTAGCGGACTGCGCTTGGGTCCCCCAGCCTGCGTCTGCAGCCCATAGGAGAATTGCGGCGGGTCATTCCAACCGCGCTCCTTGTTACCTGCAGAAGGGAGGACAAGTGTGAAGCGGGCCCAGGGGAGCCGGAGGGTCCGCACCCCACGCTGTCACCGCCCCCGACCTGGTCAGAGGGCCCGGGGACCCTAGCCCGCTGCCTCGCTCACCCGGCTTAACGTACAGCTCCGCCATCTCCACTTCCGCAGAGCCAGCGGGGCGACGCGTCACTTCCGGGGCGGCCGCACGTCCCGCGGCTAGGGGCACCGCCCCAAGGCTGGTTGCGTGGCGCCTTCCCTAGGCGACTGTCGTTGAGTAACGCCGCGAGCAGCTGCGGGAGCCCTGCACCCACTGCCTTAAGGGACGGACCCTGATCACAACGCACCAAACGGGGCTCGGATGTCTTCCAGGAGGCGGCGCTCTAGGAGCCCTAGTACTCTCAATCTCTCCAAGCCTCACAATTGCTCTCAGGAGCAAGTTTAAACGGCCAGGAGCTCCCGCCCGACTTATGCCCCCCTGTGACCTAACCAGGCACATTTCTAGAACCTCACCCCTGACTACTCCTCTACGTGTATACCCTCTACATGTAGGAGGGTGCAAAATTCAGCATTCAGATGTCAATTCATCAGGAAGCCTAGTACTGCTCTGGGCCAAGTTGTGTCTCATCTGAGCTCCCACGACCCTCTGAGATTCCCTAGTTTTACTACACGCAGTCTTCTATCTTGTTTGACTCTTGTTCCTTTCTCTTTCTGACAATCTCAGAAAGTGGAAACCCTGTTTTATTACATCCCCAATGCCTGGCATAGAGAAGACCTTAGAAAATATATTTGTTGAATGAATGAGGTCAGATTTCCATCACACCCAAGTCTTCATGTGACTACAGGCAGTTACCAACACAAAGCACAGACACAGACACTCACTTCACACAGGTTAACACCCCCGACCCTGTCCCAGGCCCAACATACTCACACCCAGTGAGGTCACTGAGGGATTTTTATTTGTACTGATTTTGCTATAAAGTGTTGCTGAGGTAGAGCCAACTGTCCAGGGCTGGACAGGGGCAAGGAACAGAGGGACCCAGGGAAAGGAGAGCCAGGGTCCTGGGTTGTGGTGCAGGGCCTCTCAGCCACCCATATAAACAATTAATAAATTGAGCAATAAATAAAGGGTGCACAAGGTGGGAGGGACAGGCAGAGAAGGCTCCAAGGGGTGAGAGGCTGCAGGCCCCTGGAGAATGAAGGGGAGCAGAGGGTGACGTGGCCCCAGAGCCTCTTTCCCCAGTCCTCCCAGATCAATTTAGGGCATATGGAGCAGAGAGGGTTTCAGCCGGAAGGCATCAAGAAAAGAGAAGATGCCCCGCTTTCGAGGGGCTGCACCCCCAACCCCTCCTTTGAGCATGGGGAGAGGCAAGGGAACTCCTGGGGAGTCCACGGAGCTGGTCCGCTTGAGCCGCAGGCGGGCACGGGCCTGGGCACCCCAGGCCTTGCCTCGAGCTGCAGAGGCCACAAGACACTTCTGGTACTGAACCTAGGGAGAATGGGTATGTGAGGATCCAGCTCCTTTCTGCCTCAGGTTCCCTGAAAGCTTCGGCAGGACAGGGGACTGGCCAAGGCTTCAGTCTGATATGAGACTCCACTACATCCAGAGCCCCTACAGCATTCTCAGGTAGCACAAGAACATAAAACTTGACATCTACTGATCACTTAAGGGGGGCTGGACATTGTGCTAAATGCTTTGTATAAAATTAACAACCCAACTATTTGGCAGGTATTATCCCCACTTCACAAATGAGGAAATGGAGATTGAGAGAGATGCCCACAGTCGCCTAGCCAGAAAATGGTAGAGCAGAGATTCAAACCTAGCCGTCTGACTGCAGAGTCTGTACTCCAAACCACGTCCCACCACTACGCCAACTCTCCATCTCTCACTGGCGTAGACGCGCCCCTAGCAAAGTGGATTCCCTGGTCAAGGAAAGGGTCTTTAACTCAGACTCCACTCCCAATGTAACTGCCCCAATCTTCTCTCACTTGAACTCAACAGGGTCCTGAATGGTCTTCTCGTGTCTTCCAAATCTTTTTCGTACACTTAGCTTAAGTGGTCTTCCCAGTCCACAAACCTGACTTCACTGTCCTGCTCAAAACATTTCTATGGCTGGGAGTGTCTCAGGATAAAATAAATTCATCGCCTGTCTGACCTGGAAGTTCTTCCATGACCTGGTTTCTGCCATTCTTTCTGCCCTCATCTCTCCCTCCATTCCCCCAGCACTCCAGAGATGCTGGATTCCTTCAGATACTCTCACTCGCTACCATCTCCCACCTTCACAGCTGAAGTTCCCTGGATTTGGCACACCTCCTGTCTTATGCCCCTTCACCTAGACCTTCCTCCTTAGACCTTCGATTTTCAATTTCCTATCACCTCTTTCAGGTAGACTTCTTGAACGGACCCCTGAATGGACCTTCTCCTCCATCATCCTGTGGTGTACAACTTCCTTCTGGTCTGTCTCCATTTTAACCTAAGGCTGCGCTCTCTATCCCACTGAATTCTCAGGGTAAAGGATGGTGCCTCGTTTCCTGCGGGCACTCATATTTGTTGAGTGAATGAGGAAACTGAAGAGTAAGAGCATTCCACATTCGAATGCCCACCAGGAAAAAACCTACGTAAGACAAAAAGGAAAGACAATGCCCACCCTACAGGGCACAGCCCTACACAATTCCAGCTGAATGTTGAAATTTATTCACGTGGATCCAGTGTCAAAGCTTCTGATATTTAACAACAACAAAAAAGAAACAGCAACTCTTGTGTGATATGTCCTGGCTGTTAAACATTGGCACCTCATTAAAACTTATTAAAAACAGCATTAGGGCCAAATGAAACACTATGAACCACAGTCAGCCCTGGTATCACTGGTTTGTGATTTCTAGACAGGGTGCCAATCCTGAGCCCCAGCCACCAGTACAAGGCAGCTGCAGGGCAACCCTACCCACCACTCCCACCCTGACTCACCATGCAAGCAGCCTGCACAGCTTCGGAGAGTGCCCCGGCATGGGGCTGGCACCAGAAGGCCGCGCACTGGAAGCTCTGACAGCCCAGGTCAGCAATGAGGCCAAAGGTGTGCGGGTCGCGGCCAACACCAATAAAGGTCACAAGGCGCACAGGGCACTGCCACAGTGGCTCCTCCTCTGCGTCGGCCTCTGTCTGCCCACACCAGGCCCAGTCACTAGAGGGCCGGCACAGGCTGGACCCACTGAGCTCTTCCAGCAGCAAGCAATGACCCTCAGCAGTCCTGCCCACCCCTCCACAACCCCCAACTTCACCTTCTGGTACCTGAATGGGGTGGGCAGTCATGAGAGAGTCGGACACACTGAGCACAGTGGGGACCCAGGCATCCTGGTCCCCCCGGGTGGTAAGGACACCAATGGCCTCGTTCAGCACATCCATTCCTGGAGAAATATGTCCACCATGGGGTCTCCCAGACGTAAAGAAGGAAAGAATCTGCAGGGAGGGCCTAGGCCCATCTCCCTGACTTGGAATTCAGAGAGATGGGAAGAGAATTCCTGGCACTGGACTTAGATTCCGAAGTTGGGAAAGGTGTACGTCCCAAGCCGTACAGGGCCATGGGTACACGCTGAGAAATAGCGATAGAGCCCACCTCATCCACCTTCCCCTGGCCTCATGCAGCACCCACCTACCACCACCCCCCACCATAGCGCGCTCAGTCCTCACCCATGGCTTTAGTGACTGGCAGGGTCCCCACGTACAGTGCCTCGTACTTCTGAGCAGCTTGGCTCACGGCATCCAGCAGCTCCACTAAAACATATACGGCATGCTGGCCTGGGTGCTGTCTCAACAACCCCTTTCCCCACCCTTCTGAGAGAGCTGAAGCTAGCATAAGACAGAAGAAAAGACCATGGATGCACCTCCAATTCAGGGCTTGGGATTCCAGGGACCAGGACACGTCAGAGGCCCCATATCTCCAGGGAAGTACTAACTAACCAGGACTACCCCCCCCCCCCCCCGTCTTTCACCTATAGAGCCTGTTGCTGTGACACAGACCTCCCTCCCCATACCTTGCCTCGGCAGATCTTCAGGGGAGATGGGGTCCGAGGAACAGCAAGAGGAATCACCACCAACCCCTATTCTCTCAGACAAGATCTGAAACACAGTGCAGCTAGCCTGAGGCACAGGGAGAGGGGGGAATCAAGGTAAGGGAGCCAATACCACCCTGCCCCAACCACCCTGGCAGCTTCAGACCCAGCTTCCTCCCACATTCCCTACCCCACTCCTGGCCCTTACCTGGGCACAGAGCCCATGTAGGGCACTGGCAATGGCCTTGGCAGGGACATCACAGCGAAACACATGGCACTTGAGCATACAGCTGTCTTTGTCTCCCGCCACAAAAGCGAAGTCCCTGGCAGGTCAGAGATGGGGCTGGGGCAGGGGCTAGGGTAGAGGCTGGGTAGGAACAGGGGCCTGCAATGCCTGCAGGAGGAGCCTAGAAAGTCAGGCAAGGGATGTGGAAAGGACAGACAGAGAGGTCAAGGCTGGGGCTCGAGGCACCTGGCTGGCACTCACCTGTCACTATTCCGGAAGCATGTGGGAGCACAGGAGAGAATCAGCTCAGCCCCTCAGGCTCTCCCCCATCTGTCCCCGTTGAGCTGGGGACGTTGAGCTGGGCCCACCCTCCCCAACTAGGACTGCACCAGGCAAGGGAGGCAGAGCTTGGGTCCATGTCAGAGGATCTGTGTCCAGAGGTTCAAGTACAAGGGATCAGCATCAGTGGGGAGCACAGTTTGCAGCATGGGGTGGAAGGAGCAACTTTCACTTGGAGGGATGTAGGAGTTCTCACCGGCCCTTGGAGCTGCCCACGCCCCACACACGGATGTGCACTAGAGGCTGGCAGTGGATCAGACTGTGGTCCAGGGGATTCACCAGGCTCATGGCATCCTTCTTCAGGATCATTAGCATGTTCTGGCCCTGCCAAGGACAGAGCGCAGCCTGGAGATTAAGCGGTTGCCATGGGGAACAGGCAATTCAGAGACAACTACCTCTCCTAGACCCAGGGCTGCACCCCTTGAAGGGCTGGCCAGCTCACCTCGCCCCAGGCACCATCTGGGGGCTGGCTCCGGCTACGGGTCTGGGCCAGCTGCTGGATGCAGTTATTGACTGCGATACTGCTCTTCCCTGGTACCAGGTCCTCTTCGGGTATCTCTACCCAACCCAGAGAGCGGACTGCAAAGCACTGACCAGTTGGGAGAAGGGCAGAAGGGCACCAAGTGAGTAGAGGTGGAGTAAAGTAGGAAATGCCACAGGCTCCACACATATAAAACATCCGCTACGCCCTCCCTTCACCCCGATCATCTCCGTTTAGCCCAACTCCCACCCCTGACCTTTCCCTCGGGACCCTTCAGTGCCGTGGGCTGGCCCTCAGGCCCAAGTCACTACCTTAGCCCCTGGTTCCATGTTCTGGATGTAGGACTCCTCACCATACCAGGACAGAGAGTCGTCACTGGAACAGAGCAGAGCTGATAAGAGACCATACTTCCTATAGAAGGGACGCTGATGAGGCACAGACTACTTGATAGGCAGTAAATGTGAGATAAGACCCAGAATATAGTGTCCCAAATATAAAACCAGAGCAGGACAAGGCCCAGGACATTAAATAAATGAAACGTAAAGAGTGTAACTTAGAAACTAAGGAAAAAACCAGGACATGGGACACAGAATAAAAGTTGCAAACATGGCCCTGGATGGTGTGGCTCAGTGGATTGAGTGCCGCCCTGTGAAGCAGAGGGTCACGGGTTCGATTCCCAGTCAGGGTACATGCCCGGGTTTCTGGCCAGTTCCCAGCAGGGGATGCACCCCAGTAGGGGGTGCGCGAGAGGCAATAGCACATTGATGTTTCTCTACCTCTCTTTCTTCCTCCTTTCCCCAAAAATAAATAAACAAAATCTTTTTTAAAATTATTTTTTTTTAAGTTGCAAACATGGAACAGGGTCCAAAATGTGGACCAGAGCCCCAAATCAGGATAAGAGACCCTAGAATATGGGATGGGAACCTCCGTGAACAGAGTCCAGGATAGTGGCCAGGGTCTAGAACATATGTCAGAACCCAGAATGTGGAAAAGAACATGTGGTAAAAGACGGAGTTAGTAACAAAGACAAAACTCAAAATACTGAGAGCCAAGAACATGGGCCAGAGTCTAGAACCTGGGTTGGAAAGCAGACTGTGAATCGAGCTGCATCTCTGAATGCCATGGCACCAAGCCTTTCATTTGACCCGGCCTATCTATCCCAGTTACCTCCGGTCTAGTGAGCTCTCCAGGCTGGAGAAGGATCTTCCTTTGGGCGGCCGAAGTTCCCAAATCCCTTTTGTCCTCTGCAGAGAGGGAACTAGGTCAGTGCAACGGCAGACTAGGTCCACACACAGGCTCAGGGCTCCTCCTCAACCTCCACCTACCGTGCATGGGCCCTCTGCATCTCCTGGCTCCCCGGATGGGCGCTGCCACTGGGTACTACCGCTGGGTACATGCCAATAGTAAGTACCTGCAGCATCATGAATCTTCCTCCAGCCAGGGGGCAGGCCTGGCTCTCCCTCCAGACTCTGGTCACCCCACAAGTCATCTACGGGAACAGGGAATGAGGAGGTGAACACAGGATTGAAGGAGGGCATAGGCGTGGGTTCACATAAACACCTTGTCAACCCTCGTGTTGGAGGCCCAGGCTCCCAATCTTGGGTAACTTTTATAGTACAAAGATCAGGGTTAGTCTGTACCCTGGTTCTCACCCCGGGACGTCCCTCACTTCCCTGCCTTTGAGCCTTGGAGTAGCCCTTCACGCTCCCTCGTCCCCTCCCCGTGCTCCCACCCATCGGGCCCCTCCGTGCACACCATCGCAATTGACCAGAATTATGGCCAACATGTAATCCTTGCCCAGCATTGCCCCGGCCGCGTCCCCGCTGGCTTCCGCCCGCTAGCACTCCCAGCTCAGCTCGACCTCTGAAGCTGCAGCACCGAAAAGCCCAGCCTCTCTGCGCCGGTCAGCGGAGCCCGAGGACACCGCCCAGCCAGGGGGCGGGGCTGGGGCCAAGGGTTGGGGGTTGAAATAGGACGGGCCGAGCAGCAGCGCCCGCCGAGGGGTGGTGCGTGTAAACAGGCGTCTGGATCCAGAGTCGGTGCGCGTTTCGTGACCGAGTCCAGGGTACGAGCACCGTAGCCTGCGAACCCACCGACACCCTCGCAACTACGAGTTCAACAAGCGGCGGATGACCCGCACAGCCGAACGTGTGCCGCGTCCATACGCACACAAGTGAGGTCATCACGCCCAGGTCGCATGCGCGCGCGTGCACGCGTTCGCATCGCCTGGGAAGCGACAGCAGTCGTCACTCGAGAATGTCTGTGGGCAAGCTAAGGCCTGGGCTCCGGCACCGGGAAAGCGCGTCCACGGTCACACACACACACACACAAAAAAAAAAAAAAAAAAAAAATTGCCCCGGAAGTGCCTCCACTCTAGGTAGGGCTGGCCTTGGCGCTTGGTAAGAGGGAGGCGGGGCTGCGCCTGCGCTCCAAGTTCGGCGGGGAAGATGGCGGATGACAAGGTGAGTGACCGTGGGGGTGATCTGCAGGCAGGGTAGTAGTCACACCTTTTTAGAACTGGGGAAAGACCGCACTGGAGCGACTCATGGGTGGGGGTGCCCCTTGTTTTCCCTGGCGGTGAACTTTTGCTCCTGTCGACGGCCTCAACAGTGGGGAGTAGAGTGGCGGAGCGCTACACGAGGCAAACGGAGCTTAGGGTCCCCAAGTTGTTCCCTCTGGGGTACCATCACGATCCCTAGTTAGTCACACACACTCAAACCCTTTTACTCGGACACACTCCTCACTCTGCTCCATTCCCTAGCCCTCGAAATTTCCTCTCCCAGAGACACGTTGTTCCCGATTCACACCGGCACACCCTCAGCCACTCTCTTGGGCACATACTGAATCCCATACCTACATGCCATCAGAGTCACTCAGTTCATTTGCCCGCGCCCTTCCAAACAGCCGTTATCCATCACCTACTCTTGAGCGCGAGTGTGTAGTCATACATTCAATTTGGGATGGCCTTAAGGGGCAAAGGAGGTGAAGCCTCGGGCCATTTCTTACCTTCGGTCTGGAAGTTCAGCACCACTCACATTTACCCTGCATCAGGCCTTGGAACTCAGCAGACAGGACAAACTGGTCTCCACTTCCAGATAGCTTATGGTCGTGTCATTAGTACTTCCCGATCTGGTTGCAAGTCCCCTGGCTGCCCCTCCCACCATCCCAACACATCGCTTACTGTGTAAATCGCCTGTAAATTACTGATGCACATCCTGTCTGTCACCCCCTCGCTGGCCCCAGTGTGAATTCTATGCTTGTCAGTGCCCTCCTTTATCACTGTCATCTCTGGAAGGTATTTTATGACGATATATAATCTCAGGCTCACCCCATCCCAGCCTCTGATGGATAGACTTGAGCAGGAGATGGGGCTAGGTCAGTCTGCTGGAGCCAGTGTCTCCCTTGTCCTAGGATTCTCTGCCCAAGCTTAAGGACCTGGCGTTTCTCAAGAACCAGCTGGAGCGCCTGCAGCAGCGTGTGGAAGATGAAGTCAGTAGTGGTGTGGGACAGGTAATGCTGCTTCTGACCCCACCCCCTGGGCTTCATTGCCCAGTACGCTTTTGAATGGGTGGTAGAGATTTATTCAGCGAATGGTTATTGGAGCCCTATTCTCTGTAACTTTAAGGAGTGTTTCCCTGGGAAAATGACACTTGAACTGGGATCTTAAATGGGGGCTAAAAAGGTGAGGAGAGGAGGAATATTCCAGGCAGATTGAACAACAGAGGCAGAATTCTTATAGGAAATAGCATGATGAACAGAGGGGTGAAAGCAGTTCAGTTTGGCTGCAGCAGTGGGAAAGCATGCTGGGATATGAGACGGAAGCAGGGCTCAGATTCCTCAGGGATATCTCTGTTGCCTTGTGACTGTAAGGTTCTGCCTTGTGGCAGAACCCTATGGTTCTGAGATTATATAATCAGAACTCCTAGATTCTTTTTCTGCCTACAGAACCTTGAGAAAGTCTTTGGAGAGAATACTACAGCTTTCCAGAGTAAGGAGGAGCAGGTGGTCGGCGGCTCTAAGCCCAGCTTCAGTAGCTCCTGGTTAGAGGAGGGGAGAACCTACTGAGTTTCCTTGTGCATCTTCTTCCACAGGATGGCTCGCTCTTGTCCTCCCCATTCCTCAAAGGCTTCCTGGCCGGCTATGTGGTGGCCAAACTGAGGGCATCTGCAGTATTGGGCTTTGCTGTGGGCACCTGCACTGGCATCTACGCAGCTCAGGCATATGCCGTGCCAAATGTGGAGAAGACATTAAGGGACTATCTGCGGTCACTGCGCAAGGGGCCTGGCTAGCTCTGGATCCCACGGGGAGGCAGGATGAGCAGCTGGGACCTGCATGTGGAGACCTCAACCACAGACGCCATATCTGGCTTCCCCAGCTGTCACCCATTTGCTGTCTCCAACTTTCCTGCCACCTTCATCCTTGTTTCCTTTCCTGCAGAGGGTGCACAGTGGCTCATAGCCACCACCCTGGACTCCTCCTTTCCTCCCTAACTCCATGGGACTGATCCCAAGACCGTGGCTTCTAGGGCTACCAGAACTCTTCCCGCCCTGACTGTAGAGTTTGCAGCTGACTGTGGTCCTCAGCATTCTCTCTGGCCATGTACCACAGCTCTTCCCTCCTGGCAGCCGGCTGCATATTTTGATTCTCTCCAAACATCACAATCCTCACTGCCCCTTGCTAGTTTCACCCAGGGTCTGGTGTGAGCATGAGTGTAGAAGATGGGGGTGCAGCAGGCCTGGGCCGACCCAGGCAGGCCCGCTGGACCCTGATGCTACTCCTGTCCACTGCCATGTATGGTGCCCATGCCCCATTGTTGGCACTGTGCCATGTGGATGGCCGAGTGCCCTTCCGACCCTCCTCAGCTGTGCTGCTGACAGAGCTGACCAAGCTGCTGTTGTGCGCCTTCTCCCTCCTGGTGGGCTGGCAAACGTGGCCCCAGGGGGCCCCACCCTGGCGCCAGGCTGCCCCCTTTGCACTATCAGCCTTGCTCTACGGCGCTAACAATAACCTGGTGATCTATCTTCAGCGGTACATGGACCCTAGCACCTACCAGGTGCTGAGCAATCTCAAGATTGGAAGCACAGCCCTGTTCTACTGCCTCTGCCTCCAGCACCGCCTCTCTGCACGCCAGGGCCTAGCACTGCTGCTGCTGATGGCAGCGGGGGCCTGCTATGCAGCGGGGGGCCTCCAAGACCCTGGGAACACCCTTCCTGAGTCCCCTCCAGCAGCTGCGGCTGGTCCCATGCCTCTGCATATCACTCCACTAGGACTGCTGCTCCTCATCCTGTACTGCCTCATCTCAGGCTTGTCGTCTGTGTACACAGAGCTGCTGTTGAAGCGACAGCGGCTGCCCCTGGCACTTCAGAACCTCTTCCTCTACACTTTTGGTGTGCTCCTGAACCTAGGTCTGCATGCAGGTGGCGGCCCTGGCCCAGGCCTCCTGGAGGGCTTCTCAGGTTGGGCAGCGCTCGTGGTGCTGAGCCAGGCACTAAATGGACTGCTCATGTCAGCTGTCATGAAGCATGGCAGCAGCATCACACGCCTCTTTGTGGTGTCCTGCTCGCTGGTGGTCAACGCCATGCTCTCAGCTGCCCTGCTGCGGCTGCAGCTCACAGCCACCTTCTTCCTGGCCACGCTGCTCATTGGCCTGGCAGTGCGCCTGTACTACGGCAGCCACTAGCCCCGACCATCTCCACTCTGACTTCTGACCCTGGAGATTGGTCACCATTAGAGCCACCTCCTAGCCCCCTTTCCCTCAGCAGCCCTGTAACAAGTGCCTTGTGAGAAAAGCTGGGGAGGTGAAGGTGTACCCCTGTGAGACTTGGATCGTGGCTTTGGTTAAGGAAACTGGAAACTCTCAAACACCCACTCTTCCCCCAGTTCTTCCTAAGGAATTAAGGGAGCATCAATACCTAGGCCTGAGAAATAACCCCATTCCTGATGGAGAAGGTTCCCTGCCTCGTCCTGCGTGAATGCAGTTGTTTAAAGTGGGCCATGGGTGACAGTTGGTTTTTCTTGCCTACTGTGGCCACCCCAGCAGACCCATGTCCCCAGGGCCTGGTGCTGGCTGCCCAGCTGTGGTGCATGATTCCCCCATAAAGGATACTTGCCCCCAACTGTTGTAGAAAAGCCCAATTGCCACAGATTCCATGCCCATTGCCTCGGCCATTCTGGTGAGCTCCCCTGGCTCTAGCAGCATCTGGAGACTGTGCCTCCTGCTCCCTCAGTGCTGCTTTCCACCTCCAGCCTTCGTTCTGGAAGCCGCAGAGGGGCTGGGACTTAATTCGTTTCAGATGTCCCTGGGCCCTGGCGTAAGTCTATACTCTTGACCTCTCTACTCATCCAAAGACCCTCTTGAAGCCCACTGCCCCGTCTAGAGCTCCTAGGAGTTGCCATCCTCCCCACTCTAGGTCCTGCTCGTACCTAGCAATGTCCCAGCTCCCAGCAGCCACGGAAACTCTGCACAGAGTGACCTGGGACCAGGCACAGGGAAACTTGTATAATATAGCTCAATTGTGTCTAACTGCATAAGCAATAAAGTCTTAAAGCTTTCTGGAGTGTAGGCAGTTCCTCCAGTTGGCCATGACCTGTGTCCCGTGTCTTCTGTGTTACATAGCTCCTCTCAAACTATTGTATTCCCCTGACTCCCTTAGTATCTTAGCCCTGGGGTAACTCAGACTAGAAGAAAGGACTGTTCTCTGTCACAGAGCTTTTGAAGTTTTGCTGAAGCATGAAACTTGGGTGCTGGGGAATTTGGGTCTTGGGAATAGAAGGCACTAGGCCCAATAGGACAAGCTAGATAGACTGAGGCCAGAGAACTCCGGGGTTCAGCGTGGTTGATTCTCATTTCCTCTAGGTCTCTTCCTGCCTGTCATCTGATCTCATTGCCAGAGGAATGCTAAGCCCTGCTGCTGTGGTAGAATGCCCGGTAAACTTGCCTTTAAAAACATCCTAGTCCTATTGAAGCATTATCTTAGGGAGTGGGGTTTCAGAATCTCTTTTTTAAAGCAGCTCCCTAGGTGACTAGTGCACACTTGTGAACCACTACCAAGTGCTGTATGGAGCTATAGCCAGCTAGACTTGAATTTGAATTCTGCCTCTGCCACTTAGCTAACTGTCCTTAGGCAGATACTTAACCTCTCCTATCTTTAGCTGCCTTGGCTCTGAAATGGGAGTCAGTGGTACCTACAACTATTTGGGGGAGCAGAAAAGGTTAAATGAAATAATGGATATTAGGTGCTTAGCAGGCAATGGCATGACACTGGCTAGTGGTATTAGTTAACAATGAAGGTTCACTTGGTTATTGTGTCTCAACTTCCTCCTCCTTATAGGACCCTTAAGAATAAAGAAGAGAAGGCCCTGGCCAGGTAGCTCAGTTGTTTAGAGCGTCATCTTGATATGCCAAGGTTGTGGGTTTCGTCCCCTGACGGCACATTCAAGAATCCACTAATGAGCCCTGGCTGGTGTAGCTCAGTGGACTGAGCGTGGGCTGTGAACCAAAGGGTCGCTGGTTTGATTCCCAGCCAGGTCACATACCTGGATTGCGGGCCAGGTCCCCAGTGGGGCCACTTGAGAGGCAACCACACATTGATTTTTCTCTCCCTTTCTCCTTCCTTTCACCTCTCTCTAAAAAGTAAGTGAAATATTTTTTGAAAAAGAACCAATGAATGCATAAATAAGTGGGACAATAAATCAATGTCTTTTTTCTCTCTCTCTAAAATCAATAAATACAATTTTTTTAAAAAGAGGAAGGAGAGAGGAAACTGCCTCTGAAGGATTCGTGATCATCAGAGTTCTCCCCAGGCCACGGATCCAGCCTAGTCTGCAACCTGCCGCAGCTGCCGGTTCTGGGCTTGGAGCTCCTGGTTCTGTGCTGCCAGGTGGATGGTGTCTTGCAGAATGTCAGCCAGCAGGTGGCGGTGCTGATGCTCTGTGGTCTTGGTCCGTTCCTCACACAGCCCCCGCCAGGCTCGGAACACCTGCGCCCAGATTCAGAAAGCTAACTAACTGTCAGCTAGCTAGTTTTGTCACCCACTCAAAGCCTGTCCCTACTGACCTGTAACAGATGGCAAGTCTGAGCTCGAGTGGCCTGCACGTGCAGGTCATAGAGGGCTATGAGGTCCTGCTCCGCAGTGTCGCGCTCTACCCGAAGAGCCTCCAGCTGGAGTCTCAGCGCTGCCTGCTCGCGGTGCCATCTCTGGCTAGTCGTGGAGGTCTTAAGAGATAACACAGTCGGCCTTTCGTATCCACAGCCCGCTCACGGATTCAACCGACCACAGATTGAAAGTACGTTTTGTACTTTCAATGCAGGAGGATGTGGGAAGGTTACATGTGAATACTGTGCCATTTTATATAGGGACTTGAGCATCTGTGAATTTGGGTATCCATGGGAGTCCTAGAACCAACCCTCCGTGGATACCAAGGGACAGCTTTCCTGAGTGCCGCCTGTGGGCCCACTCTGTTCTATATGCTTCATGTGTATGATCTCATTTTATCCAATGTCAACCCTATGAGGTAGCTGCCATTTTGCAGATTTGGAAATTGGATCAGAGGAGTGACCTAACACGCCCAAATTCCCATGGCCAGTGAGGGGCAGAACTGGGATGGCATGCCTTTCAATGGCTCACCATTGTCCTCGGGGTAAAGCCCAACTCCAGAGGCAGGGCACATGCTAATCTGAGGTGGACACCGGCCCACAGTGTCCACGTCATTATGGATGAAATGAGACATTCACACAGACTACCGAATCTGGTGGAGGAAAAGGGACAGCATGGCTTTTCTCTCAAGGGGAGCAAAAGCCAAAGCCCTTGCCATGACCGGCCTTTATTGGTTTTCTCAGCACATTACGTGGTGGTCCTCATTTACTATGCATAGGTTGCCTTAGGTGGTTACCTTTTACAGACAACAAAGGAGCCAATGCCCCTGACCACATCACAGAGGATGGATATTAGCAAATGAAAAGGCAAAAGTGGTTGGACAGGTTACACTGGTCCTAGGAAGGTTTAGCATGGATTTTAGGAAGTTACTTTGCAGTAAATGTTTGCCACTGGGGGCTGGGCCCACACCATGCAGAATGGTCTCCTACACTGACCTCTTCAGCTCTGCCTCGGGCCACACACCTGCCAGGCTCCAGCCAGATGGACAGTTTGCACGACCCAGCCAGTGCTCACCTCTGGACCTTTGTCCATACAGTACTGTCCTCGCTTAGGTGTGTTTCTCCACCCCACCCTCCAAACCCCATCACATAAGTTTTATCCTTCAATCGGTTCAGACAAGTTCTGTGTACTGAGTGCCTCTGCGTGGTGAGCACAGACTGCCTCTCTGGGGCTCAGAGTCCAGTTGGTCTCTCTGGCTGGTTCATTTATCTTTTACTTCTCAGCTTCAATGCCATCTTCTCTGATTCACTCCAGCCTGGGCTAGGTGCACCTCTTTGTTCCCACAAGCCCCTAGCTCCCCCCATCACAGCACTTAGCTCCAAGAATTGCCTCAGATACCCCCTACAGAGCTGTAAGGGCCAGGAGAGAGGGCCCAGTCTGCTGTGATTGACACTGGATCTCAGTACCCCAGCACAGTGCCTGGCCCCACCAGAAGGAGCTAAAACCCCCTAAATGACCCTCCTTACCTCTTCTGCCACTAGGCCTTTGACCTGGTCACCTGCCTCCTCCTGATGCAAATGCTTGAGTTCCTCTTGGATCCCAAGTCGGTGCTGTTCTCGCACTCTCTGCCTCCGGGCCTTGGCCAGGAGGAACTGCAGGGCCACATCTGGGACCTGCTGGGCATAGGTGTCATCAGCCGGGGCTCAGCCAGGAGCCTGTGCATGCACACGGCACTGAGACATGGGGCCAACATTTCCAACAGAATCCCATTACCAGGGCTACTGCCGAAAGTACCACCCAGAACTAACTGGCCTGACAGAGCCTGTAGTCTGGACAGAGACCCGGAGGCCATGGGGAGGCAGGAAAAGTATTGGCCAATAGATGCCAGGGAGTGGCCCTAGGGATAGCACACTCCCAACCCAGCCCCGTGGGAGTACCCGGCCTTCCAGGTCCCTCCCTTAGCGATCCAGTAGACCTTTAGGTCCTTTATTTGCCAGAAGTTCCTTATCTCTCCCCATTGTGGGCCAGAGTAAACCAGAGACATATTAACTCTGCAACTCTTCACTCCCCCCACAGCCTCCCGCTGCTCTGGGTACATGGGGGTACCTGCTCCTCAGAGTCCCCGAGAGTATGTTTTTGGTGGAGCCCAGGTCCTAGAGATGCTGCTCTTCCTGCCACTGGTGGAAAATGCAATTAAGCACATCAATGGCGAAGACCCCCAGCTCCACCCACCTGAGGGTTCTCCCTGACCCACCTGGGGGTTCTCCCTGGAGGCCTGGACTTGCTTCCGAATTTATTGCCTGCCGAGAAGATATTAGGAGGGGGAAGTCCACATGCTTCCCCCCAGGACAGTGTGAGCTAAGCCCAGGGCTTTGAAATCAAACAGATCAGGCCCCAGCGCCTCCTTTTCCTAGCTGTATGACCTCTGGCAGGTGGCTAGTCCTTTGAGTCTTCATTTTTCCTCATCTATAACATGGAGCTGATTAAAGTTATAGAGTATGGAATGGGATACGGCACCCAAAACACTACACTGCTCAGTAAATGGGAGCTTACAGGCCTAATTTCCAAGGCCTAGCGCTGTAAAAACAAGTTGTAAGTGTTGTGAAAAGGGAAAAACCAGGAGAAGCTAAGCAGGGGCAGCCTTTCAGCCATCCTGTGGCGAACCATGGAAAATGGCACAGGGGTGGGCATGCGCCCTGAGAGAACGGAAGGGCACCACTTGGAGTCTAAGGACTTGGGCGTTTGCACCTCTGCGGACTTTGATTATCGCTGTGATCCTGGGATACTCAGTTCCCTTCTCTGAGCCTCAGTTTGCTCACATGAAAAGTGGGCAAAGACCTGGCCAGGTGGCTCAGTTGGATGTAGTGTTGTCCTGTGCACCAAAAGATTGTGGGTTTGATCCCCAGTCAGGGCACATACCTAGGCTGTGGGTTTGATCCCAGGTCAGCGTGTATATGGGAGGTAACAAATCAATATTTCTCTCTCACATCGGTTTCTCTGTCTCTTTCTTTCTCTCTCTTTCCCTCCCTCTCTCCCTTCCTCCCTTCCTTCCTCTCTCTCTAAATTCAATAAACATATCCTCAAGTGAGGATTTTTTTTAAAAAGGAAACTGGGAGCAGCCCTGGTTGGTATGGCTCAGTGGATTGAGTGCCAGGCTGCAAAGCACCAGGTTGCCGGTTCGATTCCCAGTCAGGGCACATGCCAGGGTTGCGGGTCAGGTTCCCAGTAGAGGGTGCACAAGAGGCAACCACACATGGATGTTTTTCTCCCTCTTTTTCTTCCTCCCTTCTCCTCTATAAATAAATAAATAAATAAATAAATAAATAAATAAATAAATAAAATCTTTAATAAAAGAAAAGTGGGAGCTATGTTGTCCTCCTGGCTTGAATTACTGCTGTGGCTTCCTTTGGACTGTCAAGGAAAAGTCCCAACATCTCAACAGGTTCCCACAACCGTGTGTGACTTGGTCTCTACTTCCCTCCCAAGCCCTCTCTCCTGACTCTTCCTCAAACTCGATTCTCCAACAGTCAAGCTGCTTACCGTCCCCCAAAGAGATCAGGCACTCACTTCTGAGACTTTCTTGTTATTTTCTCTGCCTAAATGTTCTTCATTCATTGCTGGCCACCTCCACCGGGAATCAACTTCCCCTGAAGTCTTCTTTCCCTTTCTTGCCAAGACTAACTTAGATGCCCCATAGAACCTTGTGTTGGTAAGCCCTTCAAATTAGCACTGGTGTGATGTTGTAATCATTTCTCTCCAGCAGATTGTAAACTCCATGAGGACAGGGATTTTCTAGGCCCTACATGGCACCGTGCCCAGCACATAGTGAGTAGTCAATAAATGCTTGGGAATCAGTAAATTAATGAGTAATTTATTGATTCCCCAGGCTGCACTCTGCAAACAGAGGAAGGAAGGCAGACCGCAGTGGGGCTCCTAGGAGGTTGGATAAAAAGACCTACCTGTGATTCTGGTTGCGCCGCAGCCTCAGCTCTGACCCCTTTGGGCAAGCGGCCTTCTGGGTGCCGGCTCCAGGCTTTCACCACCTACGGAGAGACAGTCCAAGGTGGGGTCTGGCCACTGCCGACCCACGCCCTCAGGGCTTACCTGGCTCACCTGCAATTCCCGCAGTGCCCTGCCCAGCCGGCTGAGTCCACGATCTGTCAGCGGGACCCCAAGGAGGCCTGAACGCAGGCTCTTCAGGCCAGCCCGGCGGGCTCGGGCCTCCTCTGCCGCGTCCCACAGGGTGGGCTTCACCTGTTTTATCCGCATCCTTCTTCCCGCGGCCCCCAGGAGAGCAGCCTGGAGCAAGCTCAGGGAGCTGCCTGGTAAAAGGGGACTCAAAGTGAATCGCTTCTTCCTCTGGACTCCAAAGCATACTGCCTATGACTCCCTTAATTTTTATTAACAGTACTATTCAGAAAGTACTACCCCCAGGTCACCTTGAGGGTCCAGGCGAAGAAGAATGCCCTTGTAGTTGTTTCCTTCCAGGAGCCATGAGACAATCCAGGGCAGAGAGCCCTCTGCCTGCTCATCAGCTGCCTTACCAGCCAACACCTGCAGCAGGGGGCAGTCTCTGCCAGAGGGAAGAAGGAAGAGCACGTCCACTGGTGGACGGGGAAAGAAACTGTCCCAGATCAAGCTCTGATGGAAAGTTCGACTATTTCCTGTCACTTTTGTGCACTCTCAGACAGATTGGCAACCTTGTGTAGATTTTTATTTTATCGTTATTTAATTACACAAATAACATAGTCTCATAATAAAAGATTTCAATTGTCTACTAACTATGCCCTTGTATCCAGTACATATAGAGCTCTTGCACTTCAATTTTTAAAAAACCACAATAACCCAATTTTACAATGGCAAAGCAAAGTGACATCAACAAAAGAGGCAGAGTAGGGAACTCTGAGGATCTGTCTCTCCCCAGGAACACCTCACAGAAATGGCCAGAATCAGCCTTGCTGGAACTCTGGGAGGTAGTCAAAGGTTTATAGGAACTGCATAAACGCGTGTCCAGGAGAAAAGGTGGCTTGACGGTGTGAGAAATCCCTGCGACGTTGTACCGTCGCCAGTCGCAGTCTCCTCCCAGCACTGAGGTGTCTGGTAGGCACCAGTCCTCGTTTCCAGTGGGGGCACCGGTTGCTGGAGGGAGCGGAGCAGCTCTTGTTCCCAGAGAATTGTGTTTGTTTTGACTGATCGGGGTTTTCCTAAAGGACTGACCAAAGGGGCGCCCCTTCACTTAATTTTTCTTGGCACTTTTTTCAGGGCAGAGCAGTTACACCAGAGGACACAAGACACTGAAAACATTGTTTTAAAAACAAAACCTTTTCTGCCCCCCAAACACTGCAAGACAAAAGAACAAGCAAATATAACAATTGGGCCCTGGTCAACATGGCTCAGCTGGTTGGCACGTGGTCCCATAAATCAAAATGTCATGGGTTCAATTCCCGGTCAGGACACATGCCTGGGTTTCAGGTTTGGTGACCAGTCGGGGCATATACAAGAGGAAAGCTTCTCTCTCATACTGATGTTTCTTGCCATCTCTCTCTCCTTGCCTTCCCCTCTCTCTAAAAGCAATTAAAAAATAACAGTTGCTGTAAGCAATAGATACACGGAAGGATTCAAGGGAAAAGTTGGGGAGTGAGATTTGGGGGGAATAAGGACTTTGAAAAGGAACCTAGAAAGCCAAGCACATGCCCAGGGCAGAATGCTCTCAGCAAAGCCCTGAGAAGGCTCAGCTGCAGGGAGACTAAAACAGAACTGTGAATGGCCTGGCTAAGCATAAGGGGTGACCCAACACAGAGCCAAATCTGTAGAAATCTGGGGGATTTTTCTTTCCTTGTCTTCCTTCCCATTTTTCTCCTCCTTGACTCTCCTCCCCTTTCTTCCCCGTTCTTTCTCTTTCTTCCTTTTTAAAGTGGTTTTGTTGCCCTGGCTGGTGTAGCTCAGTGGATTGAGCTCGGGCCTGCGAACCAGACAATTGTGGTTTGATTCCCAGTCAGGGCACATGCCTGGGTTGCAGACCAGTTCCCTGCAGGCCAGTTCCCAGCAGGGGACGCATGAAAGGCAACCATACATTGATGTTTCTCTCCCTCTCTCCTTCCCTTCCCCTCTAAAGATAAATAAATAAAATATTTTAAAAAATAATAAAGTGGTTTTGTTTTGGTTTGTGTGTGTGTGTCCCACGAGTTTAAGGAATGCTATGTCAGGTCACTGACTAACCACTAAGAGTGGAATGGACACTTTAGCGACCACAAAGAATGCCGTCCTCACGGAAGTTGTTCAGAAAGGTAACTAAGTAAACAGACTGCTGACTGCTCCGTGGAAAAGCAAGTGGCAGCGCAAACCCTGCAGAGGAGGGTGGGTCTGTCTGGCTTTCAGAGTTTCGGCATCACCGTATCCAAAAAGTTGGAGTGCCACGGGGAAGGGGGGAGGCTTAAGACACCAACACAATAAATACAGACTTTACAAAAAATACTCAGATTGGCCAGTTTCCAACCAGAAAACAAGGATGAGGCATGCAAATAAACAAGAAAATATGGCTCATTTGTAGGGAAAAGAACAGACACTGAATTCACTAGACAAAGATTCTTGTGTGTGTTTTTTAAGATTTTTTATTTATTTATTTTTAGAGAGAGGGGAAGGGAGGGAGAAAGGGAAAGAAACATCAGTATGTGGTTGCCTCTTGCACACTCCCTACTGGGAACCTGGCCCACAGCCCAGGCATGTGCCCTGACTGGGAATCAAACCAACGACCCTTTGGTTCATAGGCCAGCACTCAAGCCACCGAGCCACACAAGTCAGGACTAGACAAAGATTCTAATTCAACTATCTTAAATATGCTCAGGAAACTAAAGAAAATCAATAAAATGATATCTCAATAAATAGAGAATATCAATAGTTGGGTAGAATTTTTTTTTAATTTTTTAAAATATTTTATTTATTTATTTTTCGAGAGAGGGGAAGGGAAGGAGAAAGAGTGGGAGAGAAATATTAGTGTGTGGTTGCCTCTCATGCGTCCCCTTCCGGGAACTTGCCCACAACCCAGGCATGTGCCCTGACTGGGAATCGAACCGCGATACTCTGGTTTACAGAACCGCGCTCAATTCACTGAGCTACGCCAGCCAGGGCGAATTTTTTTTTAAGTAGAAATTCTAGACCTGAAAAACACTGTAACTGAAATGAAAAATCCACTGGAGGGCAGATTTGAGCAGGTACAAGAAAGAATCCCAACCACCTTTACTTGACCTGTAGGTCAAGTAAAATGACCCAGTCTGAGGAACAGAAAGAAAAAAAGAATGAAGGAAAATGAGACTCAGGGACCAGTAGGGTGCCCTCAGGTCTACAAAGACAAGCACGATGGGAGCCTTGAGGGAGAAGAGAAACAGAAAGGGACAGAAAGGACATTTAAAGAACTACTGCTCAAAATTGTCCCAAATTTAATGAAAGACGTGATGAATCTATACATCCAAAAGCTCAAAAAATTCTGAAGAGGATAAACTCCAAGATCCCCACACCAAGATGGTTTACAATCAAACTGTCCAAAGCCAAAGTCAGAGACGGTCTTGAAAACAGCAAGAGAAAAGCAACTTGTTAAGTACAAGGGATCCTCAGTAAGATTAAAAGCAAATTTCTCACCAAAAACTATGGAGGCCGGAAGGTAGTAAGAAGACATAAAGTGCTGAATAAAAAAAAATACCTGTCAACTAAGAATTCTATATCTGGCAAAACCACCCTTCAAAAATGTAGGATCTGGCTGGTGTGACTCAGTGGATTGAGCTCGGGCCTGTGAACCAAAAGGTTGCCAGGGCAATTCCCAGTCAGAGTACATGTCTGGGTTGCAGGTCAGGTCCCCAGTAGGGGGCACACAAGAGGCAACCACACATTGATGCTTCTCTCCCTCTCTTTCTCTCTTCCTTCCCTTCTGTCTAAAAATAAACAAATAAATAAAATCTTTCTCTTAATGTAGGTGAAATTAAGATATTCCCAGATAAGCAAAAGCCAAAGAACTTTATTGCTAGTAGACCTGCCTCACAAATGCTAAGGGAGTCCTCCTGCCTGTTGGAGGTGAGGAAAGGAAGACTCAGATGTGGCCCTGGCCCTTGACATCCATCTTGCAGTCACCCCCCCAACTCACCCCATCCCCCAAGATGTCAGACTTACGGAGCTTCCGGGAGCTGCAGGATCCTCAAGGCCCCTCGCCATACACTCTGAGTCCCAGGACCCTTAGGAGGGGCAGGCTCTGGGCGGGACATAGTGACAGTAAGCAGAGAGCAGGCCCTGTGGAGGAGAAGCTAGGATCAGGCCAAATGCCTACAAGGTGGGTGGTGACAGGAGGTACCCTCTTGTCCTCACCTGCCTTCACCCACTGTGGCCTGCAAGTACAGTTCTGTGGCAGCTCTTGAATCAGACACCTCCACTTCCGTGGCGTTTTCCACCACCCTGGGGGGAGGAGAGGCTGAGCTCAGCGCATAGGCACCAGAGTTCCCTGGAACCCCTGCCTGGGGAGCCCTTGGAGCTCCCGAGAGCCTCTAAGCAACATCCTCAAGGCTCCAAACTCAGTATATCCCCTAAAATCCTCTCATTTTTACGACCATACGTTTTCGTGCCTTGTCATCTACCCAGGGAGGCAAACAGGGTAATCGGGATTGCTCCCATTTTACAGATGGAACAACTGAAGTTCTGCTCAGTGAGATGCTGGGATCGCCCTGAATGATGATCGATGATGGAGTTGAAGAGGTGTAAGTGCACGGGTGAGACGAGTGGGAAGAATGGGGGTGTGGGGTGGCAGAAAGAGGGTGAGGAGTCCCAAGGCCCTAGCACAGAGCTTCCCTCCTGTGGGGTGGCAGCAGGGCAGAAACACCCAGGGCCTCGTTTGGGACGTCGGCCCCGCCTTAGGAGAAGCATCCTTGACTCTGCTGGGTCCTGGGCACTCACAAGCCTAGAGGGGCCACATCCAGCACCGAAAAGTGCTCTGCCACTGGGGACAGCAGGTCCTGAGTCCCTCCGCTGGGGCTGAGCTGAGATCACACAAACACAACACCTGTTACACACCGAGCCTTTTCCCAGCATTCAACTCACACGATCCTCACGCTGGAGCCCTGTGGGCCAAGCAAGGTGCCAACATTCAGCCATTTCAGGCCAGAGAAAGGAGGTCGCCGAAAGGCAAGCCCACGATGGAGAGCAGCGGATGGAGCCAGACTCAGTCTCCTCCGGCCGCCCTCCGTCTGAGGCTCTTTCTGGAGCAGCACCGTGGCCTTGGCTCCCTGGGTCTCCCTGTCCCCCAGGGTCTCACCTGCACCAAGCTAAGAGTGCTAAACACAAGATCAGAGCCCCCAGGAGGCAGAGCTTCCTCAAACAGCATCTGCAGCAGCTAAGGTGGAAAAAAAAAGGGTGGGGGAAAGGGTTCAATGGGGATTGAGAAATAATTGACTAAGGGATTGATGCAGAAATGTCTTTCGACATTTCCTGAGGGTGACGCCTGTGCTGTGTGCTGTGCTTGGTGTTGGGAAAACAGTGCCCGGGACACAAGTAAGCCCGGACCTCACAGTTCACAGGAACCTAGACAAGTGGGCAGACGTTTTTAATGGGACCTGCCGCTTGCTAGTGCAGGAGCCCATGACAAGGTATGAGGAAGCTATTTTGATATGGGGGCATTTTGGTGAAATCCTATTAAAGAAAACTTTCAAATTTATTCTCATTATTAGTATTATCAAGGACGGTGAAAATAATATCTCCCTGGTTATTTGATCTTCGCACGCTACCCTTCCCTGACCTTCATCCCATCAACCCCAAGCCTCCTACCTTCTTTGACTTGTCAACTGCTGAATAAATTGACCCTGGCCAAACATACTGTATTGGTCTCCAAGCTCTGTAGGGGCCCCATGGAGGGGTACAGGTACGGTGGGAAGGGAAGGTTCTCGAAGGCCCCCTAGAGGCGACAACACCTGAGCCTCATGACACCTGTACCTGGTGGCTCCTCCGGGACTCACCTGAGGCACGAGGCGAGGTGCCTCCGTTTCTCGACCCCGAAGCAGCAGGGCCACGTTGTATCCTCGGCCCACGGAGCCCAGGGTGGGCTGGACTCGTGCTAACAGCTCCTGCTCTGCCTCCTGCCGGGAGACACAGACACAGCCCCTGCCCCAGGTGCCCCGCTCCAGCCTGGCAGAGGCCCCGGAAGCACTCAGCGCCCCAGGATCCAGGGGCCCGAGGGCTCCCGTCCTCCTCTCATCGCCCTATCAGACCCCCTTACCTGAGCAGCCTCGGAGTCCAGGACTCTGTCGAAGGTGATGCACTGTTCCTGTGGGCAGGGCTGGGGTCAGCGGTGCTGCTCCCATCTTCCCCTGCCCGCCCACACTTCGTCCCATCCCCACCTGCGTCTCCACAGTCCCCGGCTGAAGGAGGCGGATGCCGTTGGACCCCTCCACAAGGAGCGTGGGGTGACAGGTCTCCTGGGGGCCTAAGAAAGGTAGACTTTCGATCGACTGTAATGAGGGAGACCCAGCTCCCACGGCTGCGGAGTCCCCCCTTCAACCTTGGCCTTGGTTTTCCATCCTGAGATGGCTCAGCCCTCCCCTCTCCCACGAGGCTCTCCCAAGCTGCACGACCTCTGTGAATGAGTGCGTGCGGTTTCTTACCTGATTCTCTGCCCCGCTCCACTTCCACCACCACAGTGAGCATGGCCCGTGGGTCGTCAGTAAAGGCCGCAGGGGCCACACCGCCCTGGCCCCAACCAACCCCTGCGCTCACCGTCTCTCCGGACTGCACCGCTTCATGCCTCTCAGATTCCCCTCAATAATTCATCTCGGATATGAGGATCTCCGGGAGGGGCCTCTGAATAATAACTTATCAAAGGAAGTGACAGTTCCCTCTTTTCTGAATTAGAACACCGCATGGGATTCTTCTTTTTTTCCTCTTAGGAAAAATGGTCAGCGTATCTGACTGTGTAGAGAATAACATAATGAACCTCCAAGCCTCCAGCGTCGGCAGTCGTCAACTTACGGCCAGTCTTATTCCCCTCGTTTCCCTCCCTACCCCCAAGGGATTCTTTTGAAGGGAATCCCAGATATCCTTTTATTTCATCCATAGCTGTTTCGGTATATATTTATAAAAAGGTAACCACCCCTTTAAAAAAGAACAGCTTTACTGAAATGTAATTCTTATACCATTCACCCATTTAAAATATACATTCCAATGGTTTTTGGCATGTTTGCAGATATATGTAATTATCACCACAGTTCATTTTAGAACATTTCCACCACTTTATGAAGAAACTTGGTTCCCTTTTCTACCACCTCCTTAACTGCACCCCCTGAGTCCACCCCTAGTCACTTTCGCTTATGTCTCTATGAATTTGCCTATTCTGCATATTTTATATAAATGGATTCACAAAGCATGTGATCTTTCTGTGATGGACTTCTTGTGGTTGGCATGAGGTTTTCAAGGTCCCTCCAGGTTATAGCATGCATCAGCGCTTCCTTCCTCTCTGTGGCTGAATAACGTTCCACGTAGGGATGAAATGCCTTCTGTCACCAACTACCCAGAGTCTGGCCACACTTCACAGCTAAGAGCACAGTCCTTCATAAGACTGTCCCTCCTTCAGACACTGGTCTCAAGCTCAGGGACCCTCAGTCTTTCCTCCCTCCGACCAGTTTTCCACACTTTTGGTTGTTCCCACTAATCCACAGGTTCCATAATTCACCAGAAGAGCTTTACAGAAATAAGGAGAGTATCGTGCTTACTGTATCTGACACTACCCAGATGTCCTACATTTCCATCCGGTTCTGACGTTACCTGGGGTTAGTGCCAGATCCCACAAGTTGAAGTGCAAGGTCCTCAACAAAACTGTCCTTACATGAGCTGCCAGCCACAAGCGGGGTTCTCGGCTATTTGCTTTGCTGTCTGACTTGGCTACAGATTCGGGGGTTCCCATGATGGCCTCAGTTTCAATAATCCACCAGAGTGATTCACAGAACTCAGGAAAGTATTCTAATTATGATTACCTTTTTTATCACAGAGGATACAAATGACCAATCCAATCGAAAGGTATATAGGACAAAGTCTGCAACGGTTTTGAGCGCAGGAGCTCCTGTCCCTGTGGGTGGGGGTGGGGGTGACACCCTCCTGGTACACCAGTGCCTCTGCCAACTGGGGAGCTCCCTGAGCTTCATTGTCCAGAATTTTTTTTAAGCGAGATCTTATTACGTAGGCACAGTTGATTAAATCAGGGGCTGCATGACTGAGCTCAACTCCACTCCTCCAAAAACAGGGCTGGTTTTCCTGGCCAGCAGCCTCCCCCATCCTAGAGCTATCCAGGGGTCCTGCCAGTACAACAGAGATAGAGCGATAGTGACAGCATTGGTATTTTTAACATTTGGAGGAATCAGCATCAGGTAGACATAGGAAGGTGGCTTTTAGCTCAATTTCCCCATGCATGTGACTGTCAGCATAGGTGTTATAACCTTACCAACAATGCTAGTGTGGTAGTGTATAGCTTACTGTGTAGATGTAATGTAAAAAAATGAGAGTAATTAGTCCAGTCCATCCTTATATTTTTACAACAAAAAATGTCTGTCACCGCAAAGTCCGCCATGTTTTCAGTCTTCCATTCAATTTTGTCAGGTTCCGAAAGCAGGAGTGGTCTCCGCAACATATGGCTTCAAACTTTCAGACATTCATCATAACTGAGCTAAGGAACAATGTTGTCTTTCGTACCGAGCCTCTTTCAAAATGTTAGTGCAATATTGGATTTTCCTCATTGCATAATCCTCTTACTCATTCCTTTACCCTCAGCTACTCTTCCTGTATTTCTCCATTCACACCCAACATTCTCCACTTCTGGAAGGGGTGTAAGGTTTGACCACAGTGCTGGTCTGGCCTGCTGGCAACAATACTAGTCAAGTAAGTGCCTCTCCCTCCATCCATTCCCCCTCATAAAGGATAGAGTTACACAGATACAGGACTAACGGGCTCTCTAGACCACTACGCAACACAGCAGCATTCACTGTCAACACCAGTTTCGCCGGATGGGTTGACAGCACAATCTACCTTATCATGCTCTTAGGAAATCTGACATAAATGTTTAAAGGCATGGTTATAGTTTTTTGCTTAGGGATCATCCTGCTTCTGGTATCTGCAGATGTGTTTCTGGTCCTAGGAAAGAAAAAATAGTTGAGGTGATAAGGGGAAGAATATTATAGCCCTACCAGCAACCTCCCTCACTCCTCATTCCCCCGACCCCTGAGGACAGTGGATAAAGCTCTCTAGTAGGACTCCCTCTTAGTCCCTCATGTTGAGTGTGAAATACCCTCAGGAAAGCATGTAAGTAAGCCCTTCACGACTTTTTCTGCTCCCCTCCTCTGCATTTTAGACAACAGAGGTTTCGATTGCTCATTCCAATGACCTATTAAACCATTACTCTGAGGATGATATGCAACATAACATGTCCATTTGCTGTGGTATCTCTCGGTTCACTGTTGGACACTATGAGCTATATGAAGTGTGGCTCTTGGTCTGAAGAAAGGAAGATTGGTGGCTCAAATTGGCACAGTGTTTTTTGTTCCAATCATCTATTGATGTCTTGAACATTTGAAGCTACAACCAGGTATGAAAATCCCAGTTCCCGTCAGGGCCCACTTATAGCCCCCAGGGCTTCTGGCATTAGATCACTATAACCCACTTTCCAGGTAACCCACTTTCCCTCCTTCCTGCTGGGGAACTCTGCCCAGAGCCCAGAGTGTCTGTTTCTCTTGTTGGCAGACAGAACAGTTCTTGTTGGCATTTTGTGCCTCAGAAGGTCCCAGAGGAACATGTCTAGATCCAGCCCACCCCTGCATTGCTGCAGCAGCCCCGTGTCAGCTCATTTTGTGGACCCACTGAGCACAAGGGAGCATACTGGGAATCCACTCACCACTTTCAACCACCTTCCAGTCCTAAAAGGCTCTTCTTCTGCTGGTCATTGACACGCCCTACTTTAATGAATCCTTCAAAGTTCCATAGTGGCTTCCATAGGTTTATGATGGGCACCCATTTTACTGTTCGTTTTAATCCTCACTGGAGGAGGATATGTTTTTCGATGCAAGAGAGAGAGACAGACAGAGAAACATGGATGTGAGAGAGAAACATTGATGAGTTGCCTCCATTATGCATCCTTACCAGGGCTGAGCCTGCAACCTTGACAAGGGGTCGAACCCACTGTTGTGGGTTTTGATGTATGGACAACATTCCAACCAACTGAGCCACACGGCCAGTGCTGGGCATCCCTTTAGTAGGCAAGTTTTCCATTGCCCTTCTTCCTGACCATATGGGCAGGGCATTTCTTACTGATTTCTACCACTGTTTTTCAGGAGTCAGTAAAAACCCAAACACAGGGGCCAGCAGCCTGCATTTCAGTCTATTGAGCTGATTTTTACTTTCTGCAGTCAGAGTGGCAGCCTTACAGACAAGATGCTGTGTGTTCACCTTGGAGCTGCCATCATACACCAAGCAGCTCTTTGCTGGTCAATAGAGAGCAGCTTACAGGAGACTGTGCAGGTGGGAATAGAATCTGGCAGCTCCTAGGACAAAAAGGATACCTGCTGAGGAATATGATACATAAACAATTTCCATTTTATTACTTATTATGGAACTCTTCTGGGTATTGCTCTACCCATTGGAGAACTTCTCTGACATAACCCAAGATATTATGGTATTTCACGTTTAAGATTATTTTCCGGCCAAGACCCACAAGTCCCTTGCCATCCAGCCACCAGGCCATCTGTCCCACAGTCACTGCTGGCAAGAGCTCCACACAGTTCAACAAAGGGCCCTCGTGCAGTCTTTCAGCCAAGGTTAAGACCAGCTCCTGTCCAAATACGACCCTCAGAAGGAGGCAGAAATCTGCAGCATCAAGTCAAGTACTTGGAAAAGCAGGAGTGGAACTTTGATGACATTACCATTAAGGTGGGCCAGAGTGCCATCGGGCTCCGGTGGGCATCAACAAGTGTGCCAGCCAGTCAGGCATGATGGCATATGGCACGAGAAGACATCTGTATGACCCAAAGAACCACATCCTGCCAGCCTTGGATCCCTCAGCCATCAGCCTCTAAAGGTGTGCCACCCAGGTGGGTATGACGGCTCCTGGGGTCTGATGGCACATCTATGACACCAAGCTGGGGACCAATAAGTCTGACAGCTCCTCTATGTCTCTGCAGATGGGCTATAGGCAGGGCACCAACCAGAGTGACTGTGTCT